TTCATCTGCAGTGAAGACTAATGTCTGCATGAAGCAGGGAGGAGACTTGGCCCATGCTCACAAGGTGGGAGAGATCCCAATGTCTGGTTTCACATCCCACATCTGAGGTTTCAGTGGTTGCAGTGAGCTTGCAAAGGTTTGAGCTGGGTGGTCTTTTTAGGGTGGCATCAGACCACGTGGAAAAAGCTTTGGTTTGGGGCTGTCTCCCACCAGAATTTAAGTAATCTGAAGAGCTGGCTTTGTATCCCAGCACGAGACCGCTCTTGGAGGACCCATAATACTCATATGTCCCATAAGAACAGGTCAGATACCTCATACTCATCATCAGCAATACCTTGCTCCTTTTACGTGGAAGAGCTGGTTCCATGTCAAATCCTGCTGCTGATCCTAAATCCTGCTGCTGAGGGATTGTCCAACTCATATGAAGATAGACGTGCCCATGCCAAATACGTCTCATCTTTTGCAGGGCCCTGAGCACCCCAACCCTGGGATGCCATACACAGCAAGAGGCTTTCCTCGCTATTGTTATCTACCAGACAATGAGAAGGGCAGAAAGGTAAGGTATCACACCCTGATAACACGACCCTTCTCAGGTTGTCCCTTGGCCCTGTGTTGGTGGATCAGCCCAACAGGGTTGCTTTTGGGAGCTGTCCCCATGATGCTAACCAGCTATTCTTGGTAGTTGTCCATGCTGTTTGTTCCTTACGTGTATTTGTAATCCCTCTGCCCATGAAGATCTTTGGTGCTTCTTCACAGCTTTAACTGTGAAGACTTGTTCTCCTTCATCCTTTTATTAAACAAAAGCCCATCTGATCTTTTGGGAAGACACTCCTGGCCTGTCTTGGGTTATGCAGTTACAACGGTTTGCACTGAGAACTGCTGAGCTTGGAAAGTCCAGCTGCTGGCTCTTCCAATCCCTGTTTCCTCTGGTTGGGTGTGTTTGCCTCAACTCATGCTGGTATTTTTCAAGTCCTGGAAGACCAGCATGTGTAGGGAATGGTCCTTCTCATCAGGGGAATCAGATGGGTAACTAGGAGGTGAGGAAGATCCCTTCTGATGCTGGGATCTTTGGTTTCCTCCTGCTACAGCAGGGATTTAAGTTGTCAAGCTTCTGGCAAGCTGCTTTCATGGCTCAAGTCTCCTAGCTGCTGAAGGCCAGCTTTGGTTTTTCTCTTTCCACCTCCAGGTCCTGGAGCTCCTGAGGGTGGCTTGGAAGAGACGCCTGATTTTCACAGTGGGCACCTCCAGCACAACCGGTGAGAGCAACACAGTGGTGTGGAATGAGATCCACCACAAGACCGAGATGGACACAAACCTGAGTGGCCATGGCTACCCTGACCCCAACTACCTGGACAATGTGCTGGCGGAGCTGGCCGCGCAGGGTGTCACCGAGGACTGCCTGAGACAATGAGCTGGGATGGGGTCCCGGCTGTGCCGTGCACGCGTCGGGGAGCCCACCTAGTGCACTTATTCCTGTTGCCTTAAGTTCCTGTGTCTGACCGCCTGTCACACTGAGCAATAACACTGTACTGCGGAAACCCTGCCTGCTCTTCACAGTGTCTTTTTTGGGAGGAAAGGATATTTTTGTAGAAATTGTGCTTGCATCTCTGGGTGGGGTTGATGGCTGCAGCCAAGACCAGCTGGGACAGTGGTCCTGAGGTGACAGATCCCCTTGTGAAGGGAGGACCTTGTCCTAGTAACGCTTGGGGACAGGATGGGGAGAGGAGAGCATCTCATTCCTGCTAGACCATGTGGAAAGCAAACCAAGGCCTCCCTCTGGCACACAGCAGCTCCCCGTCTCTGAGGCACCTCTTAGAGCGAAGCCTCCTCCCTCCTGCCCCTGTATCTCTGCTTGGTTGTAATAAACACTTCATTTCCACAGCGAGTCGCTGCTTTGCCTTCAAGCTGCCTGATGGCTTGGGGTGCCTCCCCTCTCGGTGGCCCTCTCTGGGGGACCAGCCTGCTCCACAGAGCTGGGGACACTCGATCCAGCCAGGAGAAAGGAGGGAAAGCTCAGCTCTGCTGGAGGGACACAAATCTCTGCAGGGGCAGGACACGGAGCGCTGATCCCAGGGGTCAGGGATTGCAGCCTGCCAGCGCTTCGCCCACGGGAGCCTGGTAGTCTGTGGGCACGGTGCCGGCAGAGGTGACCGGGCAGTGTCCGTCCTGGGGGAAGTCGCAACCCCCTGCTCTTGCTGTGAGCTGCCATCCTCTCTGAAGCCCTTCGGGCAGGACCTGCCCCTTTTTTCCCCTTCTCTCAGGTGAAATGGCAGCAGTTTGGGGCTGTTGGTGCCCGGTGAAGGCTCTGTAGGGAGGAGGCTGTTGTGCTTTGTGCTGCTGCTGCTGCAGGGAGTGCTGGTGCCACCAGGCGGTGACAGGCCACCTTCCTCCCCGGCTCTGCTGCCAGCTGGGCAGTGGTGGCAGCGATGCAGGGATGCTCTCCGGGTGGGAGCACAGTCCCTGCACCATGAACTCTGCCTGTTATGAGTGCTAGCACCTTGCTGAGGGGATATTGCCTCAATCCTGGTGGCCTTGCTGTACGTTGTCCCCAGGCTTCTTGTCACCTGGTAGCTGAAGCTCTTTTTAAGAGCTGTTTCTTGCTGTTCCCCTCCCTGTGGCCACCAGCTGCAAGTCCCTGGAGCTCTGCCCACATTAAATCCCTTTGGCACACCTGACGCCCTGGTGCCATCTGCCATTTTACCTCCTTCCTGGGAGATCTGGGACATGGCCATGCTCTGTGGTAGCTCTGTCTTGGCATCCTCCTGGGACCAGCATGTCCTGGACCAGCAGAGGGGCGGTTTTGTCGTGCCAATATACAAACAAAAGGATTTTCAGAGCTGTCAAGGGCTGGAGCTTTCCCCGGCGTCTATCTTGTGCTTGCAGCCTCCTGGTTACTCTCTTGCTGCAGGCTCTAGGGAGAAGACCCTCAAACATCCAGGGAAGTTTGGGGATGCTGCAAGAATGGAAGCTGCTTGGGTGGAGCAGGTATGTGTCTGTGCGTTGCTGAGCTCTACGAAAATGGGCTGTGTCTGCTCCTCTCCCGCCCTGGTTGCGAAAGGAAGGTTTTGAGTTTAAACCTCAGCTTTGTATCCCCAGATCATGTTCTTCCAGCAATCGAAACAATTGAAGCAAAAATTGAGCAGGGTTCACCCAGCCCTGTACAAAGCAAGAATTTCCTGCTGAGCGTTGCCCAAGGCATCTTTGGCAGATGCTCATGTGTGTGAATCAGCTCCAGCCTCCCTGTGTCTGGGCTGGTCCAGGGCTGGGGCACTGCGGCGTGAGCTGGCCAGGCTCAGCGCCTCATCCCTGCCTGTCACGTCCTCTGCCACGAGGACATGAGACATCTCCTAAAATCCTGGCCGTGTCCATGCTGAGCCTGAGACGGCTTAGCCCCTGCGGCAGGGGGATGCAGGCAGCAAAGGGGTGGAAAGCAGCAGAGCCCGGTGCTCGGGCACTGCTGCACAGGGGGATGCTTTGAAGTCGGTTCCCTCTCTGCCCTGGGGCAGCGGTAGCAGCGTGGGGCAAAAGCATGACTGCGATGCCGTGGTGCCGGTTGGAGCCGGGAGGGGACAGGGCCTAAAATAAGTGCTTAATAACGCTACTGGACGGGTCTGACCAAAAGATTTGGGTCCCCCTGGCCCTGGCTGGAGACCCAGGGTGGGGGTTTCTCCCTTCCCCCTGCAGCGCAAGCCTGTTTGCAGCGGGGTGGTTATTATTAGCCGAGCCTTGACCCCGCAGGTATGCTGGCCCCGTGTCCCAGTAGCGGGTACCGGCAGCTGAAACTGTGACTCACTGTCCCCCTGTGTCATCCTGCCTCCCTCACCCGGCCGCTGGCATCCCGCCGGGCAGCGGGAAGGAGGGCTCTGGGGTGGCAGATGGGGGGCTGGCGTATCCCTGTGGGCATCTGTGGACCCCAGGGCAGGTATTGCTGGGTTGGAAGAGGGGAATAAGGCAGGGAGGGGAGGAGGGATGGAGGCTGCAGCTGCGCCTGATTTTCCCCTTTGCAGCTGGACTGTGTAATCTTTGAATGCCCCATTTCCACTTAATCTGAAGTTGCCGTCCCGGCCTCTTCGGGAAGGGGGGGAAGTCCCCTCCCATGCAGGAATGGGCAGCCGCTGCCCTTGGCAAACACCGGAGAAGGAGCACTCGAATCCCTCTGCGTGGAGAGCAGCTGGCGGGGGGGTGCAGCGGTGGGGGGCTCCCAAGCTGTGGGGCAGCTCCCATTCTAGGGTCACTGAGCCTGGCCCCCTCCCGAGGGCTTGGGGACCCTTTCCCCAGGGAGGGGGACCGTGGCCCGGCCCCGCTGCCAGCGAGGGGGAAGGATGGATGGGGAAATGTCAGCATTGGGTGGGCCTGGAGTTTGGGCACCTCCGTGCCCCTGGTGCTGGGTGGGACCATTTGCCTTAAACACTTGAGGATTTGGGTGAGTTCAGGGTGTGATGGCTCAGGAGCGCTTCCCTGCCCTTGGGGCAAGGCTGGCTGCATCCAAAACCAGCCGGGCATGGGCTCACCCCTCGCACTGGCTCCGGGGGCCAGGTGGGCACGAGGCATCCGCAGGGAGTCAAGTCTTGGTGGGGTGAATGGGGGTGCGGGACAACTTACCTAGCTGCCCCCATATCCCCGACAAAGACTTTGGCTCCTGCCAACCCATCCTTGACGCGGCTCCAGTCTCCTCTGTGCCTCAGTTTACCCTTTCACATCGCAGGCTTGTGCCCTGCATCCTTCCAGCCCGCTCTGGTGTCTCAGCTCTGGGCTCCAGTGGGGCGGCTCACCGGGGGGGTTTGGGACCAGCTGGTGAGCCGAGACGTGCAGCCAGCCCCCTTTGCCCGTGGGGTCTTGCCGGGCCGGCAGAGCCGGTGCAGGAATGTAGGGCTGGGAGGGTCTGGCACCTCGGAACAGGCGGTCCCTGCGGTGGGGGCTCACGGGGCGGTTCGTCCCCTCGGCAGTGGGACGGGGTGAGCGGAGCGGGGCAGCGCGTCCAGCCCCACCGGGACGACACCATGGAGCTGCCACGGGTGCTGCTGGCGCTGGCTGGGACGGGAGCAGCCGCGGGCCTGGGTGACTCCCCTGGGGGGACGGGGGGCTCAGTGGGGCTGCGAGGTGTTTTCCCCGTGTTTGTGCCAGGGAGGGGGTTATGAGGCCGGGCATGGCTGGGGGGTCCCCACACCAGTGCTGTCCCCTGGTGCTGGCACCGCTGGCACCCCGTGAGCCCCCGCTGTGCCAGCACTGGCGTTCGTGGAGCGTAGTATGGATGCGGGCTGTGGTCAGGCTCTTACTGAGCGGTGCGGAGCACGGGGTCCCCCCCACTCACCGCCGGCTCCCCCAGCCCTGCTGCCCTACGTGCCCCGCGTGCCCCCCGCAGCGCTGCCGGGGAAGCTCACCGCAACCACCTTCGCGCTGGAGAGGCCCTGCTGCGTCTTCGACCGGCACGCCAACGCCTCCGACGCCGTCTGGCTGGTGGTGGCTTTCGCCAACGGTGAGCGCCTGCTGGTCCGGCACGTGCTCCCCGCCTTGGCGGGGGGACGTGGGGGACCCTCGCCGCAGCTGCTCACCCCCCCATCTGTGCCGCACAGCCTCGGACGCCTTCAGAAACCCTCCATCCCGGGCTGACGTGCCCCTGTACGAGCGGCTGCCCGCCGCCCGCTCCTATATGACGCTGGAGACGCCAGCGGCCGCGTACGCCTGCTCAGCACCGAGCCCAGCCATCCTGAGGGTTGGGGACGACACGGCATGTGGGGACCAGGGTGGCTGGGACCCCTGCAACGGGCCCCTGCCCTCCCCGGGGCCCTACAGGTAAGGCCAGAGGGACGGATCCCCCCAGGTCCCAGCTGGGGTAATTCCCCACCCAGGGTGTGCTCATCCCCCACCGGTGTCACCGCCGTACCCGTCCCGCAGGGTGAAGTTCCTGGTGATGGGCTGCCAGGGCCCCAAAGCAGAGACGAGGTGGTCCGACCCCATCCTCCTGCGGAGAGGTACCGGCGGCACTGCCGTCCCCCCGCGAGTCCCCTGCACTCGCCCGGATGGGGTGCCGGCACGTGGCACGGTATTGGCCCTATGCCGTCACCCCAAAACCCAGAGGGGAGAAGCGGTCCTCGATCTCCCCCGGCCACCCTATCCCTCCCCTTTCCATCGCACCATCCCCGAGCCCCCCGTGTCCCCCCCATATCCCTCATCCCGCCTCCTTCCAGCCGGCAGCCCCAGCACCATCGACCTCGCGCCCGCGCGCCGCGACAGCGACGCGGTCGTCATCGCCTCCATCCTCGCCAGCCTGGGCACCGTGCTGGCCGTGGCAGTGCTCGGCGCCGTGGGGTACGGCGGCTGCGCCGAGATGCGCTCGGGGTGGGGGGACCCGTCCATGGGGCGCCCTGGGAGAACACCCCCTCCTCGGCCCCATCAGCAAAGAGATGGAGCTATGGAGATGTGTTGAAGATTTAAAAAGCTTTTTTTTTTTTTTGCTTAAATCAGGGGTTTGTCACAGTTTGGCGAGGAGAAAGGGCCCCTCGGCGGTGGTCGGTGCAGGGGGGGCCGGCAGAGCCCCGCGGGCCCCGCCTGACGCCTCTGCTTGTCTCTCCCTGCAGCACCGAGGCGTGGAGGTCCCTGTGTCGCCGGGATTCGGGAACCAGCACCTTCTCCCACAGGTCCTACAGGACCCACCACATCCCCCCGGCCCTGCCCCAACCCCTGCCCCCCGGCTGCAGGTGCAGCCCCCCGGGGCTGGGGTGCTTTGCCCCCCGGCCTCCCGGTCCCTGTCCTGCTGAGTAAACTCTCACTTTACATCTACATCTGCCTCCTCCTTGCCTGGCTGTGGGACGATGCACCCCCTCCTCTGCCTGCCACCCTGCTCACGCACCAGCTTGGTGCTGTGTTTACCAGGCTCCCGATATCGGCCACGAAGCGCTGGACCTGCGGCGGATAGGGGCACCGGGTCTCCCCCAAAACCGCCCAGGGCCTCGGCTTGGCGGCATTTGGTAACAGGGAGGCCACATGCTGGCACCGGTGGGGTCTGCGGGGACCCCCGAGGTGGGCATCACCCTGGGGTGGCACTCTCTGCCCCATTGCCTGGGTGAGGATTGTTGCCCGCCAGCGTCACGAGCGTGGCAGTTCTCAGTACGCCTCCCGGGCAGGCAGTCAGGCATAGGAAATGCTCCCTGGGGAAACAAGCCCAACCTGTTTGCCACGGGGCTGGCGCAGGAATGTGGGCGGTTGGCGGCCACAGGTAGGTTCCCCGCAAGGACGCAGAACCCGGCCACCCGCACTCCCTCCCTTGGCATCCAGGCGCCCGCACCATGTTCCTGCTGCTTCTCCCGCTCCTAGCGATGGCCCACGGCCTGGGTGAGTCCGCCAACGCCGCCGGGCTGGACTGGGGGTCCCCGCTGTCCCCTGTTTGCGGGGGTTGTCCCCGGAGCCTGGAGGTGCAGGGCAGCTGATGCCCCCCTGCTGTTCTGGGTGTCACCCCTAGCTAGCATCCCTGGTGTCACCTTCCTGGGACTGCTGGTACAGCGTGGGGTCCTCTGGGGGGGTCTCGCAGGGGTGTCCCTCCCTGGGTGGTGGCACGGGGGTGTCTTCACTTCCGCTTCTCGTGAAACACGTCATGTCTGAGGCAAAATGCGGGGGCAGGAGGGGAGCGGGGGCCTCGCAGCGGGGACCGTGGGGTTCGGCTCCCTCCTGTCCCTGTCTCCACGCCGAGCCCCCAGTACTGCTGCAGCCGGACGGAGCCACGGGTCCGGGGACTGCAGCGGGGGTCTCGCACCCCTCCACTGCACATCTCCCCCCTCTTGGCTTCTCACCGCAGACGTGCGCCCATACAAACCCAAACTGAGCACGGCCAGCCTGGGGGGCCTGACGACCAGTTCCACCTTCACACTGGAGCAGCCCCGCTGCGTCTTCAACCTGCAAGAAGACGTCGTCATCTGGCTGGTGGTGGCCGTCCCCAAGGGTAGGTGGGATGCGGCGAGGCCCCGGGGGGAGCAGCCCCGGGCAGGGGTGTGCTCAGGGCTCCCCGTGCCCCCCCAACCCACCCCGGGGTCCCTCCTCATCCCTGTCCTTGTCCCTGCAGCCGTCCCCAGCTTCAACAACAGCGTGATGCCGGGGTCCCCCAAGACAGCGTTCCAGAAGTTCCCCACCAGCGTCTTCGCCTACATGACCCTCAACACCACCCTCCTCAACTACCCCTGCCACAAACCCCCCAGGGAGATCACGGTGCTGCGCGTCGGCAGTGAGACCAGCTGCGCCAAGGATAACACGAGACCCACCTGCAACGGCCCCCTGCCTGGTCCTGGGCCCTACCAGTGAGCCTGCCTATGGGGACATGCCCCCCACCCCTGCCGGCAGCCCCCCCCGGCTCGCGGGACCGTGGCCAACCTCCCTTCCCACCACAGGGTGAAGTTTCTCGCCTTGAATGATTCCAACCCTGTGGCTGAGACAGCCTGGTCGGACCCCATCACCCTGAGGACAGGTACCGCTGCCGGGGTGCTTGTCCTGCCCGTCGCATCATCCCGCAGCCATCGGGTGTTGGGGGGGTGCGGGGTGGTCCCGGGGGCCTGCACGCTGAGCACCAGCGGCTCAGGGCATAGCGCTGCTGCGAGCAGCCGGGGAAACTGAGGCAGGGTGCTGCTGCAGGTCCTGCTGGGGTATGATGGCACCGTGCGACGGCACGTTGTGTTTGCACGCTGCAATTGCACGTTGCATTTGCACACTGGCATTGCATGTTGTACTTGCGCTGTGCAATTGCACGCTGCGATCTCCCACGAACGCACTGTGCCCCAGCCGGGCCCCCTGCGCTGCCTCGGGGTGCACGTGCCCCTCTCTCCCCTCCTGCTCTCTCCCCAGCCCGGCAGCTCAGCAGCATCCCCACCACGGGCAGCGGGCGCAGCGCCGGCATGATCGCCCTCACCTCCATCCTCTCCATCCTCTTCGCCATCCTGCTGGCCAGCCTGGTGGCCATGCTGGTCTTCTGTGGGTGAGTGCCACCCGGGAGCCACGATGGGTGCTAGGGACGTGGGACCTGGGTCAGAGGGTGACACTGGCACCCCACAGCCCCCCCCCTCCTCCCTCACCTCCCCCCTTCCCTCCCCAGCTCAAACGCTTACAGCGGCAGCAGCAGCTTCAGCAAACCGGAGGCGGTGACGGTGCAGCGGTACAACACCCACCATGTCTACAACCAGCCAGCCGCCCGGCTCTGAGCCCCCGTCGCGGCCACACGCAGCCTCCCCCCCTGCTCCCGCCGGCCCGCGCACCCTCGGGTGCCCTCGCGATTGCGCCACCGGTGTCGGTGGCACGACGCCTGCCGCCGTGGGGGCACGGCCAGAGCTGCCCTGTGGACCGGGGCCCCGGGGAGCCACGATGGAGCGGGAGATTAAAGGCCTTTCCGCATGCTTTGCGCCCGGTCTCTGCCTCCTGTTTGTGCCCCCCCCCCGGGAATGGCACCCACCGAAACCTCGCCGCCTCCCGCAGCCCCCGGAAAAAGCCCCGTGCCCCCGTCCCCGTGCCCCCACGCAGGGCTCTGAGCCCCATCCCTGGGTGGGGGATGACTGCCGCCCAGGGCAGGATGCGGCCAGGGATGCTGTGGAGTGGGAGAAGCATTTTCACACCCAGCTTGGGGCACCTGTGCCCACTTTGAACGGGGAAAAGTCCCCCGGAGTGCGAGGCAGCGAGGGGAGCCTGACCCCCCCTCCACAGCCCCGACGCTGGGGTGAGGGACACAGAAATGTCCCCAGGAGTGGGTGGCGGGGTATAGGGGGGGTGTTTTTCCCTGTTCCCATCACCCCACAGCGATTTCTCCCTGCCCCAAACCTGGAGGAGGGTTTCCCCCAGGCAGAGCTGGCCCAATCCTGCCCAGGTGCTGCTGATGTTCCCTCGCTAGCCACGAGATGGCAAGAGGGAACCGGCAGCCCGGGGCCTGATCCTGCACCGGGGTGTGGGTCCCTGATCCCGCACTGGGGGGGGGAGTGGGCTATGGCGGGCCTGATCCAGCATTCTTGATCCTGTACCAGGGTGTGGGTCCCCGATCCTCCCCGGGGGATGTGGGGCATGATCCTGCCCCGGGGGTCGTTGGTGCCCTGATCCTGCAGCCTGGGCAGGATGAGACCCCACTGGTGCCGAGGACAAGCAGGCCAGAGAGCACCGCAGGGTGGCCGTGCCCCCCTTTGAGCGCGGTCAGGGTGGGTATGCGTATATATATGTCATACACATATATTAAAAAAACCCCAACTATTTTTTCCGTAGGTGCCGTGCAAAGGGCAGCATCACATTTATACCTGATCCATGGTCACAGCACCCTTACTGGGGTGCCCTTACGCTGCCCGGGGGGGTGTTAGCAACTTGTCCTGCCCCCCCGCTCCGGCATGCTGCCGCTGCCAGGAGCTGGCCTCCATGGAGCCCAGCCAAGGAAAATCAAGCAAATCCTGCGATTAACCCCTGCGGAGATCAGCCCGGCCGCAGCGAAGCGACGGTTTCATCCAGCAAACGCGGGTCCCCTCCGTCCTACCCCGTCCCTGGACACAAAACACCCGTTTCACCCGCAAAGCGGCTTCGAGCGGCTGGGGGGGGGGGGGCTGTCCCTTGTCACGCCGGCGTTGCCGGAGGTGGGACATGCGGCCCCGGCCGCGTGCGGGGCCGGAGGCGGCACATGGGGAGGTGCGAGCGACGGTGACAGGCGACTGCGCCTCGTCCCCCTGTCCCCCGGTGCGGGGGAGGCAGAGGGGCAGCCTGTCCCCGTAGTGTCCCCGTGGTGTCCCCGCGGTGTCCCCGCGGCGGCCGGGCGCAAATGCCAAGGTCCGGCGGCGTCTGCCGGCCCTGAGCCCCGGCTTTGGGTGCCGGGCGAGTCCTCCAGCCGAGGCAGGTCCCGAAAGGGGGGTCCCCTGTCCCCCCTCCTGTATTTATGGCACCGAGCCCCCCCCC